ATGCTTTAAATGCTTTAGTGGTGGGGAACACCATGAACCCATGTGGGGAAATGAACCCGAGTCTTCCATGTCATGAGCAAATGCTTTAACCACTAGGCTACCCCATCGCCCCATTTAGGTAGAGAATCAAAAGGATGTCCTCATTGTCTATATCTTCCCTAAACTTTAAAACCTATTCTTACTGTATCTCTCATCGTTTGCTGAGAACCTAACTTTTTATCTTAGTCTTTGTGTTCTCAGTAAAATCTTGAGAAGAATAATTTGTTCAGTTTGGTAACTGTAATCAGCTTACGCATCACCACTATAACTAAATTTTGCGGCTATATAACCACCGGTATACATCCCCAATTAGTCAAACACAGTACAGTTATCCCCTAATTATATAACGTAAAATAGGTTTTAACCAAGAGTTGTCTACTATTGTGTTTTCAAGATGCATGTTTAGTTAAAAGTAATCTCCCATGTTTGCTACAGGTCTTTTTCAACAAATGGCACATAACAAACAAAATCTGGTAGTTAAAACACAAAATAATTCAATTTGATTTAAAATTTGAACAACTGGGACTGACAGAGTTTGTGAGTTCTGCATCATTTCAACCTATATGTACAGATTTAAAAATGGAAAACAGTATATGTTGCATTGATAGCTAGCATAGATATGTAACAGTGGAAAGTATATGTACATTCCTAAACATCCAGACTGAAGAAAACATACCTTCTCAGTATTACATGGCCAACAGTTGAACATTTCAGTTATACTCTGGCTGGACATAACAGACTATATTCATGATTATTCTTAAACTATGCCCATAATCACTACCATATTTGTCACAAGATCAGACTAAATCTGTGTACCTGTGTTGGTGTTTTTCAGATTAACTACCAATTTGTGTACATGCGAACACTTAGAGTGAGTGAGTGAGTGAGTTTAGTTTTACGCTGCTCTCAGCAATATTCCAGCTATATGGCGGCGGTCTGTAAATAATCGAGTCTGGACCAGATAATCCAGTGATCAACAGCATGAGCATTGATCTACACAACTGGGATACGATGACATGTGTCAACCAAGCCAGTGAGCCTGACCACCCGATCCCCTTAGTCGCCTCTTACGACAAGCATGGGTTACTGAAGGTTCATTCTAACCCCAAACACTTAGAAAGACAACTCAAAAGAGGTCGAAGAACAACCTGATTCTTTCAAAGTTCACGTAATCAGAATACAACATGTGTGCTACCATTTTATAGACCACATGTGATAACAATAGATACCCACATGCCAACATAAGGTAACAATAAATATTTTTGTTACACTTCATATATGGTAACAATAGATACCTATGTTATAAGCAATATATGTTAACAATAGATGCCTATGTTATATGCCATATATGGTAACAATAGATGCCTTTGTGGTACCAAATATGGTAATGGTAGACAACAGTTCTTGAGAAAAATGGAAATGGCAAAACAGTTCAGTTACCGGCTCCAGTATTTAAAGAGAAATAGTGACATCATAGAGGCAGAGATTGTTCTGAGAGTTCAACATGTACAAAATTGGATATATACAGAGTAACAACAGACTAACAGTGTCTTCCTGGCTTGTCGTTTGTTCTTTGAACTGTTTAACAATAATGATTTTATACCAAATAACAACACGCATAATAATGGATACATGGAGAAAACTAAAATGGAACAAAATGTTGATGTAGGTCTATGGTTATATACAAATAATACACTACGGTGTCATGTAGCATCTGTCTAACTTACCCTTTACCGCCTCCAGGTAACCGTATTACAGGAGCATGTACAGACTTACCTCAATAAACAAGTCCCAAGTACAATATACAAATGTGCATATCCCCTACCAAAAAACATTAAGGACTACCAGATTTTTTCTTGATATACAGTTCATTCGTCATTGTAAAACAGATGAACTGTAATATAACCAAAGCATTTGGTGGTCCTTCAGTCCTTGTGTTGAATATTTTTCACCCCTCACCTTCTTCCTTACAAAAAGATTTGTTTCTACTATTGTTCAGTATCATTTATGAAAACATGACGAATTTACAAAATTATAAAGTATCTATAACATATATATAAAAAATCATATTGAGAGAAAAACAAGTCTCGATTTTCTGCCATAACATATTCAGTTAAAGAATTCCTTAACAAATATACCTTGAAACCATAATTATGATACAAAGATTTACTAGACTGATTGTCACAGATCACATCCTGAATATTATGCTTGTTCCTTTGGGACTGATATGATAAAACACTAAAATATATGGGCTTGATTCATCTCTCAGCTTGTCCCACAATTAGAGTGAGTATGGTTTTATGCCACTTTTAGCAATATTCCAGCAACATCACAGCAGGGGACACCAGAAATGGGCTTCACAAATTGTACCCACCCACAATTAGAGGTCTGCCATGTGGAACTTCACAGGTGGAATTATCTGTGTTCCAACTTTTTTAATCTGTGCGATAATAAATAAATGGAGCCTGTGCAAAACAATGATTTGAAAGTCGACAATGTTAAGTTGCATGATTAATGACAACATTAAATAATTGACAGGGATGCAGCATCATGTCATTATCACCTGTGTTTCCCCCTGATGATGTAGATTAAAATTGATTATTATGGCATGGCCAATTACAATGACGAATATTAAAATATGGTGGTTTGAGACAACAGTTCTTCCGAGACAACAATGCCATAATCCGATCAGTGTATCTTTTCATATACCACAGATCTGTGAAAACAGCCATCTTTCCACCAGATCACAAAATATTTTTTATTTGTCATATTTTGAACAACTTGAAGAACATGCAAAGATTGAGGTTTTTTCCAAATGTTCGTCATCGCAACAAAAGTAAAGATTCTCCAAGTTTTGAGCCATGCTATGTTGAACAATGTTTTTTTTATGAATCGATTTAAAGCAGTTGAACAGCAAGGTGTTCATGATGGAAAGTGTCTTTTGTTTACCCTTTGATGTAATGCTGAATGGGATCATATGAACCTCATCAGAAATAATGTCTCCATAAAAATTGATGTTATAACTTTCTTCTACGAACTAAAACTCAAAGTGTTGACACTTAGGTACACACCTGTTCAACCACAGTACAGATTAGACAAGAAAAAAGGTACTTCTTCTTTCAAACTAAATAAAAACTTCAGTAAAAAATATTTCACAATAAGGATGGAGTAATTTCTTAATAACATATATATTATTAATTGTTTGTGTTTCATGTCCTGCTGAAACATGCTTCACTGCATTGGCCTATCTATAGAAAACACAATAATAAATTATACATGTTTGTAGGGAAGTGGAGGAAAGCAGGAAGGAAAGCTCCACACATTATGCCACAGAAGTACTAATGGCTTCAAGGGAATATATATTCACATATGTACATCTATACAGCTTTGCATGCCTTAGATATGGAGCAATGTTGATACACTGGATTTGTCATTTAGTGACAAATAAAATAAGATAAATGAGAACATAAAAACAGTCAAACAACACAAGGTCAGCCAAAGCCATGACACATGTAAAATATACTAATTTGCTGAAAAAACATTGAAAACATCTTCACACCTTGATTAAAAAGATTAATGACTTTTCTAAACATAATCATCTGTTGTAATGAGCGAGCGAGCGAGTTTGGTTTTACACCGCTTTTACGGCGGGGGACACCAGAAATGGGCTTCACACATTGTACCCATGTGGGGAATCGAACCCGGATCTTCGGCGTGACGAGCCAACGCTTTACCCACTTGGCTACCCCACCGCCCCCTGTTGTAATGATCAAAGGAATTTATTTGAAGACAATACGAGTTCACGCATCTGAACTGATGCAAAGTAATGTGTTGTGTTTGATATCATGGTGCATCTGTCTAACATTTTAAGATACAAGAGAAAAGAATCTCATTTCATCCATAGCAAAATGATACCTATTTTTACATCTTGATCTATAATGTGTCATTTTCTTCCTGTATATATCATATTTCTTGAATTTAAAACAAAGTTCTTTGCAACTTGTAACATCTTAAGGTCAGCATGTTGTACAAAAACTAAAAAATTAACATTAAAACAAGAACTGACAGATCTGGAATGAAAGCTTCAGAAGAGTTTGGAATGAGATAATGGTAAACACATATTGATAAACCTAACAAACAAGACACACATAATACAAAACTAACAATCCACAATTACAAACAAATTAACAAGAGTACCGCAATGAAAAACCGACCCAATGATCAGTCAAAGTACTCAAGGACAAAGTACAAGAAATCCAAATATGGCAGTTTAGAATAGAATAACCTCCCTTTATTACGACAGAGTTACCTCCCCTACAGATTTCAACAGAACAGATACTAAAACACTGACAAACAAAGAATTTGGCTGATATGAGATCAGAAATCATGGGAGACGCGAACACTGTATTTCTCCACTCACTGTGCTGGGTAAAAAATGGCATTAAAGGTGCACATAAGCTAAATAGAAAGTCACAAAAATTAGAGAAAGAAAGAAATATCTAAAAGTTCAAGCTTCATCATACATTTTAACAATTCTATTGGATACATTTATTAGAGTCTCTATTTAAGCCATAGGACCAAGATGGCACCGTCAATGAACATTTCAAGGCAGAATCTCTTTCATCACTTGACAGATCACCATTCTATAACTAAACACCTCATCATATCTACCTTCGTCTATACTGATAATATGTGGAATATATATCTTTGCATGGCACTAAGCAAAACACCTGTTGGTTATGATAGCATCAAATATAATTGGTAACAGGAACTTTATAACATCAACCACTGGTGATCTTCAAGGGGTATTTGCATACTATAAAAGCATGTGAAAGCTATGAACATGTAACAAATCTATAGAAGTCCATTCATGCTTACTATGTACACTGAAGAATGAAATGTTAAAGACATTTACTAGAAAGCATTTCAATAAGGCCTTTTAACTCAACCTTATTTTGCCTCTATATCTGTGATCAGGGTGGAACTTTGCAGAGTTGCTTCCCTTCGTTGTGCCAGGATCAGGCTATTCGGATTTGCAATCCAATGGCCACCCTGATAATGATCCTTGGTCTGACAGCACTGTTTTTTAATTCTGTCAGATTGGGTTTACTGAAGTAGCTGCAAGACTGTTGTGATTAACAATAATCACATACTCCTGCTAAAATGGCCTTCACATGCCATGACTTGACACTAACATGCCATAACGTATTGAGTCTAAACCCTAAAACTTAGAGCAATGTAATGATCATCTGAACATGCATCAAGTTATAAACTTTATAAAAAGATTAGTATCAAGAGCCTTAGGTAAGGGTAAATAGTTGTACAGAAAGTTATTATAGAAGGGTTAAAAGACCTGATGAAATGCACCATGTTCATTTAAAGAATTATCATAAATCAGTACTGAAGTTCTCCTGATTAATGGAACCGTTCTTGCTGTCCTTGCTTCTGCTTGTTGCTGGTAAACTTCGACTCTTCTCCGATTGGAAGCTGTCATCACTGCCATTTGCTGCTACATAAGGATCATCATGGCTACCTGATCGCCGTGGCAACGCATGAAGTTCAAGGTTGTCCACGACTGACTTTGACTGCCCCTTTACCACTGCCACAGAAATACTATCAGAGGAATCTCCGTTGAAAATGGCTGATTTTGCACTTGCATCAGAATCTTTTCGAACATCCTTTCCTCGTATCTTGTCGCCTTTCTTCGCTGCCTTCTTTCCAGATGACCTTGCCCCTTTGGTAAGACCTTGACCCTGGTCCCCATCTTCATCAATGGGTTCTAGTTTCACATTATCTTTGGTGGTGGGCACAGAAATGTCATCTGAAAAGATATATTTTGAGTTTGAAAATTCTGATTTAGTTTCATTTCTACAACAATGTGTTTAGTAAAAATTCCAAGTTAACCAAACCTGGAAATAATAAAGAATCAATTCCCATCAAATTACACCGTAAATGCTGAAGACGTTTACTGGTAAGGTACCACAAGTTGGTTGCATATGGTATATCTCTTTCCACAGAGGCTAGATAATGGGTGCAGGGTATTTGAATGGATTTATCTTTGCATTGTGAACACTCTCAAAATGCATTTTCTTCAAAACTTATTTCATATTTAGCAATTACCCTGATTATTTTTGTTGGCTATATTTGGATTTCAATACTGCCAGCAACCTTTGATAAAAGCTTGGCTTTGTTGTTGAAGATCTTTCGTGTTTCATTTTTACTCAAGTGTACTGTTTTTTCTTCAAGAATAAAATACAATACATGATCATAGAAAGGCCTAATATTGATGACCAAAAACCGGGGTCTGTAGAAGGGAGTCAGCTTATCTACAGGTTACACTTTCGTAAAACTTATTTTTAGGTGGTAAGAAAACAACATGATATCATACTTCACGTAAATGAACAAAAGTAAACAACTTTGTCAGTGAAGACATCAAATTTGCAATTAAACTAGGTTTGTAAATATATCAAACAAAATCAGTAGTCATCCCTCGAAATGTTGTGTGAAAATAACGAAGAATACACTTGTGAAAAAACGCTAAAGACCACCTGATTTTTTCCTCTTATCATATACTATGCATGTTAAATATTGTGTAGCAACAATGAATCAAGTGTTCCATAACGATTTTGTGTCACATATGATCGTTCACTTGACAATAATAACACAAAGGCCATTACCCAGCGTGTTCTATTCAGTTAAACCCGTGAAGATCCAGGTTAGAATTGATCTTCAGTAACCCATGCTTGTTTTAAGGTGGTCAGACTCGCTGTCTTGGTTGACACATGTCATCGTATCCCAACTGCATTGATCGATGCTGATGCTGTTGATCACTGGATTGTCTCGTCCAGACTTGATTATTTACAGACCGCCGCCATATAGCTGGAATATTGCTGAGTGCGGCATAAAACTAAACTCACTCACTCACTCACTCACATTCGGAAACCCCACACGAGTACCAGAGACCTAATCTGAAAAAAGGAATCTAATTTTTTATCTGAAGAGCTGTCCTGACTGGGAATCCCCAATGGCTAGTACATGACAACCTTTTCTAAATAGGGACCCGTGAAGATCTGGGTTACAATTGATCTTCAGTAACCTATGTTTGTCATAGGAGGTGACTAACGGGATCGTGTAGTCTGGCTTGCTGACACATGTCATCATATCCCAGTTGCATAGATCAATGCTCATGCTGTTGATCACTTGATTGTCTGGTATTGATTATTCACAGACTGCTGCCATATAGCTGGAGTGCAGCTTAAAAGTAAACTGACCCCCTTAACCCACTATTCTAAACAGGAATAGACTCGCTGTCTTGGTTGACACATGTCATCGTATCCCAACTGCATTGATCGATGCTGATGCTGTTGATCACTGGATTGTCTCGTCCAGACTTGATTATTTACAGACCGCTGCCATATAGCTGGACTATTGCTGAGTATGGCGTAAAACTAAACTCACTCACTCACTCACAATTCAAACTCCCTGCATTACACCTTTTCCAAAAGATCTGTTTATGCACATTACTGCATGCTAAAATTCTATTTAGTATATCCTAAAGCTATTGAGGACAAAAAACTTACAATGACCTGGAGCCTCTTTGAGCAAACAGAGCAAGTTCTTCATTACATTAATGCATATTTGTATGGGAAATGCTGTGTATTTAAACTCGTTTAGGAATTTGTCATAAAACTCCACAAGAAATAATATGAGAACAGCTGTTTCTTGATACTAATGAGAATTAAATCACAAACTTATACCAGCAGGAACTGAGAATGAGTCGCTTACATATGTTTTGAATAAGCAGTTGTTCCATAATTGATGGAGCTTAAAAACGTTTCAGTATTCAGCGTGCCATTGACCTTTAAACTCCTATGACCCATACTGATGTTACTGATACAAGAAGTTGGCTTCCACTGTTAAATGTTGAAACAATAGCAAGTCACAACATGCACTGTAAGAATAACTGACCCATGTGAGGATATCAGGAATCTGATTTTAATCAACTAAAACAATTTCAATCCATAGAAACAAAATTGTTTTGATAGGTTATTTTAAGGTTAAAGTACAATTTTTTAAAATTAAATACAGAACAGGTCCAAAGTACCTGTCTAGGGATTCCTATTTAAAATAGGTTGCTATCATTATCCATGTCAGGACTGCCCCCCAAGTACCTGTGTGGAGATTCCTATTTAAAATAGGTTGCTATCATTATCCATGTCAGGACTGTCCCCAAAGTACCTGTGTGGAGATTCCTATTTAAAATAGGTTGCTGTCATTATCCATGTCAGGACTGCCCCAAAGTACCTGTGTTCCTATTTAAAATAGGAGATTCCTATTTAAAATAGGTTGCTATCATTATCCATGTCAGGACTGCCCCCAAACCTGTGTGGGGATTCCTATTTAAAATAGTACCTGTCTAGGGATTCCTATTTAAAATAGGTTGCTGTCATTATCCATGTCAGGACTGCCCCCAAAGTACCTGTGTGGGGATTCCTATTTAAAATAGGTTGCTATCATTATCCATGTCAGGACTGCCCCCTCCAAGTACCTGTGTGGAGATTCCTATTTAAAATAGGTTGCTATCATTATCCATGTCAGGACTGCCCCCCAAGTACCTGTGTGGGGATTCCTATTTAAAATAGGTTGCTGTCATTATCCATGTCAGGACTGCCCCCCTCCAAGTACCTGTGTGGAGATTCCTATTTAAAATAGGTTGCTATCATTATCCATGTCAAGACTGCCCCCCCAAGTACCTGTGTGGGGATTCCTGTTTAGAATAGTGGGTGAGGGGGGTCAGTTTACTTTTACGCTGCACTCCAGCTATATGGCAGCAGTCTGTGAATAATCAATACCAGACAATCAAGTGATCAACAGCATGAGCATTGATCTATGCAACTGGGATATGATGACATGTGTCAGCAAGCCAGACTACACGATCCCGTTAGTCACCTCCTATGACAAACATAGGTTACTGAAGATCAATTGTAACCCAGATCTTCACGGGTCCCTATTTAGAAAAGGTTGTCATGTACTAGCCATTGGGGATCCCCAGTCAGGACAGCTCTTCAGATAAAAAATTAGATTCCTTTTTTTCAGATTAGGTCTCTGGTACTCGTGTGGGGTTTCCGAATGTGAGTGAGTGAGTGAGTGAGTTTAGTTTTACGCCGCACTCAACAATATTCCCTGCTATATGGCGGCGGTCTGTAAATAATAGAGTCTGGACCAGACAATCCAGTGATCAACAGCATGAGCATCGATCTGAGCAATTGGGAACCGATGACATGTGTCAACCAAGTCAGCGAGCCTAACCACCCAATCCCGTTAGTCGCCTCTTACGACAAGCATAGTCGCCTTTTGTGGCAAGCATGGAGTGCTGAAAATCAATTCTACCCCGGATCTACTCGGGGTCTCCGAATGTGAGTCCCCTAGGGACCAAGTCAGGAAAGGCCCTGGCAGACCTGGTGGTTCGAGTGAATGACATCAATAATTGATGGATAACAACTTCTTATATTTCTTGAGTGCAACGTTTCGATACAGGTTACTGTACTGTTGTCAAGTTGGAATGCTGACTGTGTCATAAAACATCACTCACTCAACAGATGATTTCAAACAGATTTCATAACATTTTGTAATCATTTGGACAAGTTTCTGACAAAATGTAGTTTTGTTCTCCGCCCACAGTGGTGTTAAGAGTTCACACGTACAATAATGATGCAGTATGCTGTTTATTAGTGTAATGAGACAAACTGCAGGAAGGAGTGTTCTCAAGTAGGTCTCGCTTCATCTGAAAAGATAAGGCAAGACCCCCCAGTGTCATGCATTCTGCCTGCAGGTCGGATGTGCATCTCAACAGCTGCTGGTGCACTCAGCGAGAGAAATGTCTCTAAACTTAAAGGGAAGAATGTTGCTGATTCAGCAAACCAAACATGCATGCACATCCAGGAAGACATATATGTACATGCATCAGTGATAGGTTTTTTGTAAACGTGTGCTATTTCACATAACTGCAATACTTGTGAATGGTATCTGGTTTGTGTCTCTTTTAAATGTTTATTCCAAGTAAATTGTGAAGCAATGGTGATAAATGAATGTAATGGTAACACAGTGATACATGTGTGAGGACTAATCGCTCTCCATGATCTCGTTACAAGCACATTTAACTCTCAAAATTAGGTGAGATGAGCTGGGCTTTAATGTCACACTCAAGATTGTTACACTTTTATAGAGACTTGCAGGCATGTGTGTGTGGCTGATTGTCAAAGTCCAGTCTAAGGGCAGGTTTGTAATGCTAGCCTACTGAGAAAGTGAGTGAGCTGGGTTTTCCGGCACTTTTAGCAATATTCCAGCAATATCACAGTGGGGGGACACCAGAAATGGGCTTCTCACATTGTACCCACAAGGGGAATAGAACTCAGGTCTTCGGTATGACGAGCCAACACTTTAACCACTAGGCTAACCCACGAAGTCCAATCTAATGGCAGTTTCATAATGTTATCCCACTGAGAAAGCCTGTTGCAGGTAACATGGATATACCACTCCAAACTGACCAATCACTGTTTTATCCCCTTAATGCTGAGTGCGAGGCAGGCTAGCAGCAAACCTTAGTCCCAACATAACATATACAGAGAGAATGTTTGGGGGCTGTTTTCCGCAATGGATACTTACCATTTAATAATAAAATAATAAACATCATCATTAATCCTAATAATATTATCTCTCATAAGCCGAAAACTTAGTACAAAAAACACTACTAGTACTTTCATCTGTATTCTAAAGTGACAAGTGAGTGAGTATGGTTTTACGCCACTTTTAGCAATATTCCAGCAATATCACGGCAGGAGACACCAGAAATGGGCTTCACACATTGTACCCGTGTGGGGAATCGAACCCAGGTCTTCAGCATTATGAGCTAATGTTTGAACCACTAGGCTACCCCACCACCCCTAAAGTGACAAGGGGTATGACAGATACAGTGTGTTTTGTAAGGCCAAAAATCCACTAAAATGATCCATCAAAAATATGAATAGTTACATACAAGGAAAGATCTAATAACTGGCCAAATGTGCAAATTGAGACAATAGTTATGATCTTCAGTAATTCAGACATTTCTACCTTTATTATATCATGTCCATAAATAAATTTGACTGACATAACACTAAAAACCTTCTGATTTTCAAGACGACCGCTCCTCATTCTCAGCTATGGATAATAAGTTGTGCAACTATTAAGTTGTGTAACAGAATGTAAGAAAACCTCGCTTCTCTCCTGTGTGTGCACATGTGATGATAGCCCCAATGGAGGATTTACAGCCAGGACGTAATCAAGGCTTTGAATTCCAAAGAATGATGCGTTTCTGTTATGGTCGTGCCGAGTGTGACTGCACTGAACATGGAGGTTGCAAGCCCTTCCTCAACCACCACTTGACTGTGACAAGATGGAGGACATCCAAGCTGACAGAGAAATCTGATAAAACCAGGAAATATCTCCTGCATACCCAGATGTCAGAGTCAATCTTAAACGTCCTGCTGCAACATTTATTGCCACACATCTTAGCTGTCTTACATTTCTCTACTCTTTTATCATTTTCACCATCATTTGTCACTTGTCTTTGATTCCAAAACTGTTCCTGTGAAGAGCTTGGAAGGAGGGCTTGATCTCATTCATTCATTGCTGTATGGTATGTTGTTATTGCGAGAACATGAGTATGACAAGCTGGTTGTGGCAACTGTTTTCATGGTTAAACTTCCATGTTGAAAACCTTTCTTCATCACTTTCAGCTATCTTCCCATATTAAACTGACTTACTAAAAAACTAATACTGGACCATCACACCAACCCACAATCTGTCGGCCTCACCATCCCACAATCTGTCGACCTCACCACCCCACAATCTGTTGGCCTCACAACCCCACAATCTGTCAGCCTCACTACCCCACAATCTGTCAGCCTCACTACCCCACAATCTGTTGACCTCACTACCCCACAATCTGTCAGCCTCACTCTGTTGGCCTCACTACCCCACAATCTGTCAGCCTCACTACCCCACAATCTGTTGACCTCACTACCCCACAATCTGTCAGCCTCACCCCCACCCCACAATCTGTCAGCCCTCACCTCACCCCACAATCTGTTGACCTCACTACCCCACAATCTGTCCCACACCTGACCTCACTACCCCACAATCTGTTGGCTCCACTACCCCACAATCTGTCAGCCTCACTACCCCACAATCTGTCAGCCCTCACTACCCCACAATCTGTTGACCTCACTACCCCACAATCTGTTGGCCTCACTACCCCACAATCTGTTGGCCTCACTACCCCACAATCTGTTGGCCTCACTCACCCCACAATCTGTTGGCCTCACTACCCCACAATCTGTCAGCCTCACTCCCCACAATTGGCCTCACTACCCCACAATCTGTCAGCCTCACTACCCCACAATCTGTCAGCCTCACTACCCCACAATCTGTCAGCCTCACTACCCCACAATCTGTTGACCTCACTACCCCACACAATCTGTCAGCCTCACTACCCCACAATCTGTCAGCCTCACTACACCCCACAATCTGTCAGCCTCACTACCCCACAATCTGTCAGCCTCACTACCCCACAATCTGTCAGCCTCACTACCCCACAATCTGTCAGCCTCACTACCCCACAATCTGTCAGCCTCACTACCCCACAATCTGTCAGCCTCACTACCCCACAATCTGTCTCACTACCCCACAATCTGTTGGCCTCACTACCCCACAATCTGTCAGCCTCACTACCCCACAATCTGTCAACCTCACTACCCCACAATCTGTCAGCCTCACTACCCCACAATCTGTTGGTCCTACCCACAATCTGTTGGCCTCACCACCCCACAATCTGTCAGCCTCACTACCCCACAATCTGTTGACCTCACTACCCCACAATCTGTTGGCCTCACTACCCCACAATCTGTCAGCCTCACCACCCACAATCTGTTGACCTTGCCTACCCAACAATCTGTTGGCCTCACTACCCCACAATCTGTCGGCCTCACTACCCCACAATCTGTTGGCCTCACTACCCCACAATCTGTCGACCTCACTACCCCACAATCTGTCGGCCTCACTACCCCACAATCTGTCAGCCTCACTACCCCACAATCTGTTGGACCTCACTACCCCACAATCTGTCGGCCTCACTCACCCCCACAATCTGTCGACCCTTGCCACCCCACAATCTGGTCACCTCACCACCCCACAATCTGTCAGCCTCACTACCCCACAATCTGTCAGCCTCACTACCCCACAATCTGTCAGCCTCACTACCCCACAATCTGTCGACCTCACTACCCACAATCTGTCGACCTCACTACCCACAATCTGTCGACCTCACTACCCCACAATCTGTCAGCCTCACTACCCCACAATCTGTCGACCTCACTACCCACAATCTGTCGGCCTCACTACCCCACAATCTGTCAGCCTCACTACCCCACAATCTGTCGACCTCACTACCCCACAATCTGTCGGCCTCACCACCCCACAATCTGTCGACCTCACTACCCCACAATCTGAATACATGTGACAAACCAAACATCTAACTATATCTGAACATCCACCCCTACATCTGAACATCACAACCAAGCCTATACTGACTGGAACAACCAGCCCTCAACATGACTTCCACCACCATCCATAATCTTGACCTCCACAACCACCCAATGCCTGAATTCCCCAATACAACATCCCTCCATGACAAACCCTTGCACTCTTAAGCCTTATATGAAGAAGCCTAGTCTAGCACATGGGTCACTGACTATCACAGGCTGGAACAATACCATAAGCCCTGCATGGGATTAGCCGACTTTCTATTAGATTACAATAAAAAACTGACTTTGTACATTATCTTGTATTGTATATAATAAGTTTTGACAATGTGATACAATCTTAAACGCTTTTGTACAATACAAGTGTGATTGAAATCTAAAGTTTTATTCCAACTGACCCCCAGAATCTGCCTGAACCAACATTCCTAATTGGAATCATCTGACAAGGCTGATGACAGTCCATGATTGTGTCCAAATACATCTAGTCGTGTTCAGCACTCCTTTGAACAGTATGTAATTCATGTTATGGTGTGTCACCTAATGTTTAAGTGAAGCTCACAGTGATGCAGAAGTTCACAACTCTGGTGAAAACAAGAATCAGGATGAATGAAACACATTTGGAACCCACAGACTGAAGGGCACCTTGGATCAAATCTCTGTTATTACACAGTTTTGTCTGTGTGACATCTCACTTGAAAATGTCTACTGGTGTGTTCTGAAGCATGGCTATTGCAGATATGCAATCTACAAATCTCGGGTCTTTTTACTTAAAAAGGGGCAGCAAAATTGTCAATTAAGTTCATATCAATTTTTAAAAGAAATATATCATGCTGTCAGGAATCATTTCAATTTACAAATCTGACACATCTGACAATCATTATTAGATGGTACTGGCTGAATGTGTGCTTGTATTATAATTTTCATATAATAGGAGTAAAATATGTTTTTTATCTTAATTCATGGTATCTGTGGTTTAGAAAGAAGGGTAATAATCTCTTTATTATGTACTGCCAAAGTAAAGAAATATAACTCATACTGTCACAAAAGTAACTCATGAAACCGCTTAGGATTACAAAGGTGGAGATACCTTGTGATTATATATTCTACTTTGGGAAACTATATCTTAATATAGTTGTTGGACAATTGAACAATAAAAAGAATATTTGGAGCTACTATTTAAGCTAATATTTAGCTACTGAATAGAAAAGAACCAAGATTAATGTACACGATGTCCTTAGGACTCAAAGGACAAGGTACAAGCATAGTGTATGTAATATATGCTTGGTGATATGAATCTTGTAAATGTATAGTCTGTTTGGCTCAAAAGCGGACCGACCGGACAGCCAGGTATGTGAGAAAGGATGGAGACGGAACATGAATCAAAAAACTTTGTCAGCACTTGTGCACGTGCCTCCCCCGTACACCTGGCTGTCCCTCTCTTTGCACTCCTCCCTCGTAGCAAATCATGAACTGTGTAAATATTTTAATGATAGTTTGTTAAACAACATTTTTATTTTTAGGAGACAGATTCTGCAAAAAATCACAGAGCTGGTCTGATGTTTTGATTATGATCAGCATTTCATTGAGTATTATATGTTTATTAGTTTTCGAGCTAGATTGCAATTTATCAGTCCGCTTTTGAGCCAAAAGGACTATAGCTGTTACTCTGAGATCATGAAAGCATAGAACACAAGAAGCATGGACTTGACAAGGATTACACATTGCCGACAGTTATTCACAGGTTAGAGTGATGACCAGCAAAGAGGAACCTCTAGCCTGTGTTCTTGTGTGGAGTGATCTGGACTTACCGGGCAGTTTCTTTGTTCTGAATGAAGCATTTGTGAGGGCCGACTTGGCCAGGCCTGAAGTGGAGGAGGAGGAAGACAGAGCGATGCTGATGCCCATAGGCCCATCCTGTGGCTGTCCTGATGGGTTGTACTTGAGAGAGTTGAGAATTGCACTTGTTACCTGCAACACACAACGTCACATTCTTAATCTTCTCTTTGTCTATTTCCTTTATATTGTGGCATGTCAGCTTTGTGAAAATCCAAGGTATTGCAAGTCTTAGACTTTGCCATTATGGAAACACTAATTAGCATGGGTATAGAACAGGTACAGACAAACCAAGGATGGTGATTAGGATGAACCCATGATTGCAGGATTCAGGCATGCCTAGGGGACACAACTCAACTTCATGTATCATAATAATTCAAACTTGTCTGAAATGGATCAACAATGACAATGGTTAAGACAATCATGAGACAAAGATGAAACAATAACTGGGTGATGTTGAATTAAATGGATGGGAAGAAGCTCATATCCACATTCCTGTGCAGCAGCCATAGCAGACTTGAGCACTGTCCCCATGGAGAATCTGGATTATGCATCCCTCAACACCCACACAAATCTTTACAAGCACAATATTCATCATTCATGATTATTCATGTGTTCATCTTTATGTCCACAAGAAGGTAACATTTTTAGCAGATCTGATTGCATTTAAAACTTTTGGCTTTCAGAATTCTGAATTGTTTTCCTTTGGAAACATATTGATGGATCCATGCCTCACCACCCGTCACTGAGTGAAACATGGATTATGTGGTTATTGTTCAGCATCAAAGTTTTCTATCCTGGTGCTAGTGTCGGGTCAACTAGAGCACTGGTCATCTTCTGAACCCACTGATATCATCGACTTTCCACAAGCAGCATTCAACCATTCCTCAACAGTCTCTAGGGCCAAAAATCTGATGACTGCTTTCTAGTCAGTTTTGTCCAATTTAATTCTTGGAGGAGTAGGGTATATCACATCCGAAATCAGTTATCAGCACCTCACAGACTGAAGCATGCCAAATTGTGAAAGTCGACACAACAAACACTCATCAACAGTAACACATGTAATAACATCCTAGATAAGGCACGCTCAAAATATTCTTGTCAGCCAATGGCATTCTCGATTCTGAACTCGGTAAATCACACACAAAGTGTCTGATAAGACAGATTCAGTTTTTGTACCTTACCTACATCCATCAACTACCCAATTACTACCCAGTAATCACCAACAAGCCATGTATATCAGGGCAGTTTTACAGTTGTTTATGTCACAGACCGACATCCAGTAAACTGTTGTCTCCAATCTTCATCCAACATCACCCATCCTGCATCTTACACTGTATAATTACAAACTGTCAAATCCTGCAAGGCTTTTCCAGTGTGACCCTAAGTGGTCTCAATTTAAACATACTCCATAATACATTTGAAAAAAGCCCTTTTCAGATCAGTTAATCTTCCAATCACAAATTAACATTTCACAGCCATTTTCATCATCTAATACTCAGAGACAATATCACACCAAGCATAGAGTTTCAAATCACAAATTAACATTGTACAGCCATTTTCATCATCTAATACCCAGAGACAGAATATCACACCAAGCATGGGATAGAGGTTTCAAATCACAAATTAACATTGTACAGCCATTTTCATCATCTAATACCCAGAGACACAATATCACACCAAGCATGGGATAGAGGTTTCAAATCACAAATTAACATTCTACAGCCATTTTCATCATCTAATACCCAGAGACAATATCACACCAAGCATAGGCTAGAGGTTTCAAATCACAAATTAACATTGTACAGCCATTTTCATCATCTAATACCCAGACAGAATATCACACCAAACATGGGATAGTGGTTTCAAATCGAAAATTAACATTGTACAGCCATTTTCATCATCCAATACCCAGACAGAATATCACACCAAGCATGGGATAGAGGTTTCAAATCACAAATTATTATATTCTACATCAATATCACACCGAGCATGGGTTAGAGGTTTCAAATCACAAATTAGTATTCTACAGCCATTTTACCACACAACACCCAGACACAACATCACATCACCCAAGTACAGGTCTTGGGACAAAGTTTATCTCGGCTAGGAAATTTGACTGTGAACATATGTGACATGACCCACTGACAATTCAAAAACATTAATCTCAACTATACATTTCTGGCCTTTGATGACATCCCAGTGTCACCTTGACATGACCACTTCAGCTTTAAACACTCAAAGTTCAAACAAGACAAAACCGCAGTGTGCAGAAGTTCACATAAACCATGGAACAAATTTCAATTAACTACTGTTTATGAGTTGGAAAATCATGTGATACACATGAGGTAGCTAATCTCAAAGTAAACTCTAGTTATTTGATACAAGCACAGTTTACTACCTCCTTGCTCTGCACATTCTGCATACAATCAACATGAATACCAGCGCAGCATGTGCACTTATAACATGAAAACACTCACGAAAGAGATTTCACTTTTTGATCTCCTAACAGATTGTGTCTGAGGCATTCATGACCATATATTTACAACACCTCTCAAACAAATCTTATGAGTCACTTGCAATGGCATAAATAGGGATTTTAATACAAGCATGTGCGTCATACTGATTTTATGAAAAACAATGTCAGAATTCTTGTATTTCACAAGCGTCATTTTCATTAAAATCAGTATGAAACACATGAATAATTTCTTTCTTCTGCTATTTCTTAACTCATCTGAGGGGGCGGTGGGGTAGCCTAATGGTTAAAGTGTTCAGCACACCAAGGTCTGGTTTCGATTCCCCACATGGGTACATTGTGTGAAGCACCATTTCGTGTCCCCCGGCGTGATATTGCTGGAATATTGCTAAAAGCGGCGTAAAACAAAAACTCACTCACTCACTTAACTCATCTGAGCCCCGATTTTAGAAAAGTGCACTCAAAAAGACATTACCCAAATGACGTCAACAATGACGTCGTAATGACATAAACAATATCTGGTGCGTGTGAAGTGATACCTGCACTAGCCTCATACAATTTTTACTAACTTTCTCTTCTTTAACCCAATGAATAATAACACTGGTATGTCCCAGCAGACATCATAGGACACCCTACCCTAACCTTCTCAATATTCCTTAATACTTATACAATGTATGAAGACTCAGGTCAAAATTGTCTTCATGAAACCTGGGGTATGCTTGTAAGAATTGACTATTGGAATCTGGTGGTCAGGCTTGATGCATGTCATCGAATTGCAACTGCATAGGGTGGAGCTCATGATGTCATGTCAATCACTGGATTGTCTTATTCAGACACCAATATTTACAAACATATTCATGTTAGTGGAATATGTCTGAATGCAGTGTTAAAGGACAAAGACAGATACCCAAGCTCTGTTCACAAGAACAAGAACTTCTTTGTTTCAATAAGTACAGATACTTTACTTCCTTTTCCACCAATCACTAAGAACGTCTCTAACCCAACACTGACACCACTAATACAGCTATCAACCTCCTATAAATGGATCTCCTGATTTAACATTGGCTGAATGCAGGCAAGATGAGCTAGAATTCCAGATTCCCATTGCTCCTAATCAATTACAAATTCAAAACTGATCCCCCGTCATAGAGCATATCAGTCCAGGATATACCAAGAATGTCCATCCTTCAAATATCCTGTCCTGTTAATTACATAGTGATTACTACATGAGCAAGTGTGTCATACAACTTATATGAAACAAGTGTGAAATTTTGTATTGCCAGAGCGAGAGAGTCCCAAGACATCCCTCCCAAAGACATCCCACCCCAACCGAAGACATTCCACCCGAACCCAAGACATTCCACCTGCTCCCAAGACATTCCACCCATACCCAAGACATCTCACCCATACCCAAGATACACCACCCCTACCCAAGATACACCACTCCTCCCCAAGACATCTCACCCCTACCCAAGACATCTCACCCATACCCAAGACATTCCATCCCAACTCAAGGCATTCCATCCCTACTCAAGACATTCCACCTATACCCAAGACATCTCACCCATACCCAAGACATTCCCCCTACCAAAGACATCCCACCCTACCCAAGGCATCTCACCCCTACTCAAGACATTCCACCCCTACCCAAGACATCCCACCCCTACCCAATACATCCCACCCCACCCAAGACATCTCACCCCCTACCCAAGACATTCCATCCCTACTCAAGGCATTCCATCCCTACTCAAGACATTCCACCCATACCCAAGACATCTCACCCATACCCAAGACATTCCACCCCTACCCAAGACATCCCACCCCTACCCAAGGCATCTCACCCCTACTCAAGACATTCCACCCCTACCCAAGACATCCCACTCCTACCCAATACATCCAACCCCTACCCAAGACATCCCACTCCTACCCAGACATCCCACCCCTACACAAGGCATCCCACCCCTACCTAAGACATCCCACCCTCTCCCCAAGACATTCCACCCCACATCATTCTTCAACTAAGAACATCCCTGTCCATCAGGCCCCATCTACTCCAACCCAACCCAACTACTCCTACCCAAGACATCCCACTCCTCCCCAAGACATCCCACCCCTCCCCAAGACATTCCACCCATACCCAAGACATTCCATCCCTACTCAAGACATTCCATCCCTACTCAATGCATTCCATCCCTACTCAAGGCATTCCCACCCTCCCTAAGACACCCCACCCCTACCCAAGACATCCCACCCTCCCCAAGACATTCCACCCTACATCATTCTTTTTTCAACTAAGAACATCCCTGTCCATCAGGCCCCATCTACTCCAAGAACCCAACAACTACCCCCCAAGACATCCCACCTCAAGAAATTCATCCCTACTAAGACATCCCACCCTCCCCAAGACATCCCACCCTCCCCCAAGACATCCCTTCCTCTCCCCAAGACATCCCTTCCTCCCCAAGAAATTCCCATCCCTACTCAAGGCATCCCACCTCTACCCAAGACATCCCACCCTCCCCAAGACATTCCACCCCTACCCAAGACATTCCATCCCTACTTGGCATTCCATCCCTACTCAATGCATTCCATCCCTACCCAATGCATCCCACCCCTACCCAAGACATTCCATCCCTACTCAAGGCATTCCATCCCTACT